GGATCTATTCTGGATCCCTTGCACTTCCATATGAATTTCAGGATCAGCTTATCAATTTCTGCAAAAAAGGCAGCTGGGATTTTTTTTTTTTTTTTTTTTTAGATTTTATTTATTTGTTAGAGAGGGAGAGAGAGCGAGCGAGCACAGGCAGACAGAATAGCAGGCAGAGGCAGAGGGAGAAGCAGGCTCCCCGCCAAGCAAGGAGCCCGATGTGGGACTCCATCCCAGGACGCTAGGATCATGACCTGAGCCGAAGGCAGCTGCTTAAACAACTGAGCCACCCAGGCGTCCCGGCAGCTGGGATTTTAATAGGGATTGCAATGAATCTGTAGATTAGCTTGGGGAGTATTCCTGTCTTAACATATTAAGTCTCTGGTCAATGAATACAGGATGTTTTTCCATTTATTTAGACCTTTAATCTTTTTTAATAAGTATTTATATTCAATGTAAAAATCTTACACTTCTTTTGTTACATTTATTCTTAAGTATTTTACTTTTTTATTCTATTGTAAATGGTTCTCTCTCTCTCTTTTTAAAATAGGCTAAACACCCAGTGTGGATCTCAACATGGGGCTTGAACTCATGGTCCTGAGATCAAGAGTCAGATGCTTGGGATGCCTGGGTGGCTCGGTCAGTTGAATGTCTGACTCTTGATTTCAGCTCAGATTATGATCTCAAGGTCATGAGATCGAGCCTCACATCAGGGTTCGTGCTCAGTGCCCAGTCTGCTTATTCCTTCCCTTCCCTCTGATTGATTCCTCTCTCTTTCTAAAATAAGTAGAGAAAAAAAAATTTTTTTTGAAGAGTCAGATGCTTAACCAACTGGGCCACACAGGTGCTCCTGAAACTCTCTTTAAAATTTCATTATTGGCTAGGTGCCTCCTTAGCGCAGTAGGCAGCGCGTCAGTCTCATAAAATTTCATTATTGGGTTGTCCATTCCTAGTGCATAGAAATACAATTGATTTTTATATATTAACATTGTATCCTGCAACCTTACTAAACTTGTTTATTAAATCTAATAAATAAGGTGGGGTTTTTTTGGTAGCTTCTTTAGGGTTTTTTATATACAAGATCATGTAATTTCAGAATAGGTATACCTGTACTTTTTTCTTTCCAATCCAGATGCCTTTTATTTCTTTTTCTCGCCTGAGTGTGCAGGCTAGAATCTCACGTATAATACACAGTGAAATTAAGTAGAAAGAGCAGAAATCCTTGTCTTAGTTCTGATTTTAGGGGAAAGTTTCAAGCTTTCATCATTAAGTATGATGTTAGCTGTGGGATTTTATTTTTCCAAAATTACTAATTCAGTCTCTTTACTTGATATATATATATATCTATTTAGAGTTTCTATTTCTTCTGCATCTGTGTCAAGCATGGATGTCTATCTAAGAACTTGTACATTTCATCCAAGTTATCTAATTTATTAGGCATATAGTTGTTTGTAGTATTCCTTACAATCGTTTTTATTTCTTTAATGTAATTTCTTTTTTTTAAAGATTTTATTTATTTATTTGACAGACAGAGATCACAAGTAGGCAGGGAGGCAGGCAGAGAGAGAGGAAGGGAAGCAGGCTCCCTGCCGAGCAGAGAGCCCGATATGGGGCTCGATCCCAGAACCCTGGGATCGTGACCTGAGCCAAAGGCAGAGGCTTTAATCCACTGAGCCACCCAGGCACCCCTCTAATGTAATTTCTGTAACATTTTTATAACTTGATCTTCTCATTTTTTTAATTGGTAAGTCTACCTAAAGTTTTGTTAATTTTATTGATCTTTTCAGCAAAAGAGGTTTTTGTTGATTTTCTATACTGTTTTTCTAGTCTCTATTTTACTTATTTTATCTAATACTTATTCTTTCCCTTTTTCTATTTGATTTAGGTTTGGATTACTCTTCTTTTTCTACCTTATTTAAGTGAAAAGTTAGGTTTTTGATTTGAGGTATTTCTTCTTTTTAATATAGGCACTTACTATACATTTTCCCCTAACCTTGCTACATCTCATAAAATTTCCCTTTTCCCCTCTTGTAGCTAAGGCAAGGGCAGCATGATTTAGGCTTGGTCATTTGACACTCTCATCAGGACTTTGAATCTTGAACAAATAGTGTAAAAACACGGGGACAGAGTAGAATTAATTTACGATGGCAGCATCGTAATGATGCTCATGATGAAAGCAGTGGTTCCAGCTGTGGCCCCCTTACCTAGATCATTCCTCTATTGTGACACTGGCTGATATTCCTGGTTCTATTCTCTGAGCTTAATTAGCTAAACTTCCTATCAAACTGAGGATTTCTTGATAACCTTCCAGTATGTTTATTTCTTCCTTAAGTTGGTGGAGTTGGTTTCTTTTCCTGGAAACTAAGAAACCTGGCATACTGTTGAGGTTCAGAGTTAGGGAGAAAGAGAAAGCATAGGTCTTTCACTTTTCCCTTTGCAAAAACTTTCTTTGTAAATTTCTGTGTTGCTAGTATTGTTGTATTACTTCTGTTATTTAAAAATATACTTTTAGGAGCGCCTGGGTGGCTCAGTGGATTAAAGCCTCTGCCTTCGGCTTGGGTCACGGTCCCAGGGTGCTCTCTGCTCGGTGGGGGGCCTGTTTCCCTTCCTCTCTCTCTGCCTGCCTCTCTGCCTACTTGTGATCTCTGTCTGTCAAATAAATAAATAAAATCTTAAAAAAAATAAAAATATACTTTTAAAATCGAGAGCCTAAAGCACAGTGGGGGGAAGAGGAGTGGTAGGATATAAAATATGAAACTCAGGATGAGGCCAGATTGTACAAGGCCTTGAATATCATTTTAAGGATTCTGATTTTAGCTCAATAATTACTCTGCTTTACAAAGCAGAGCAACGATGACATTAAGGTGTTTGTTTGTTTGTTTATTGCCATGTAGATGGACAAGAATTCAGAGAAATTAGAGGACAGGAGAGTAGTCAGAAGGAGGCTATTGCCATAGTCCACATACAATATTGAGCAAATCTCTCAATCTAGAGAAGGAGGGAGAGAGAAAGAGGAAGGAAGGAAGGATGGAAGGAAGGAAGGGAGGGAAGGAAGGAAAGGAAGGAAAGAGGAAGGAAGAAAGAAAGAAAAAAAGATGATCAGTCATAGGCTGGAGTTTTCTGGAAGCAGATGCTGAGACAGTTGAGGTAGAAGATACTAACTGGGGAAAGGAAGCAGGGTTGAAGAGAGGGAGAAGTCAAACTGCAGTGTAGATATGGCAATGACAGAGACCCAGCCCCCCTGGCAAGGAGCTCTGGAGTGAATACTGCTTATCAGAATTGTCCTGCAGTGGGCCAGAATGGCTGAAACTTTGCATCTTTGCTTTGCTCAGTCACCAGATGAGGACAGGCCCAGGAGGAACGTGACCTCCTGCAGGACTGTTCTCTGCAGGTGAGGCCGACACAGAAGAACTGAAGCAGCTAGAAGCTTGCTATCTGCTGCCTCTACGCCCTGTAACTAAATGGCTAGACTTTCCCTGAAGGTAGGACTGGGTGGTACACCTCCGGGCCTGCCACAGAGAAAGACATTAGGGACCATATCTTGGGAAAAGAAGCAAGAGAGTGGAAAAAGTGGATTAAATTCTACAGATACTCTATTTTCTAGGTGGGGATGAAAAGGGAGTAAATAAAGGTTAACACTGAGATCTCTACACTGATGATTTGATAGTAATTCTGTTTAACTGACAGCAAACAACAGAAGAGAGAGAAAAGGTTTGGGGAGAAAGATAAGGAATTTAATTTAGAACATGTTGACTCAGAAATGTCTGCAAAATATTAAGGTAGAGATGATTTCAAGAATCAATGTAAATGGGGGTCTGGAGGTCACCAGCGAGTGCTTTATATCTATATTCTTTTTTTTTTTTTTTAATTTTGAATGCATTTAGTACTTCATTTATTTTAATTTACATTTGGGGAAAATGTATACCTAAGAAGTATTATCAATTTAAAGGAAAACAGTACATAAATAGTCAGGGTGTGATGCTATAGCAAAATCATGAAGGTGGGTCACACATGACCAAAGTCTGAGAAACCCTGGAGTGGCTGTCCTCCAGTGCCCACCCTTAGACAAATCAGTGTTCATGGAAGTAGGGTTGCCTGTTATGGGATATGGCTGCCCAAGTTCTGGCTCTTCTCCAGGGACTGAGGACAAAGCAGTTTCTTTGGGAAAATTCTGTGGGCAGGGGCAGCTTGAGGTGTTACTATGGACCTCTAGGTTGAGTTGTAGCTCTGGGGGCCACCCTCTGGGAGTGTCTGAGGTGGGCGTGTGGTTTCCAGCCTTCTGTGACCTTACTCTGAGGGGAGGTTGTGAGAATTGAATGTGATCATTGATACAAAGGTGCTTTGAAAATCAAAGCGAGGAGACAGTAGGTAACCTCCCTCATCTCTCCCGCTGTCTCTTTATGGGAGGTATATCTATATTCTTACTTCATACTTGTAATGCCGCAATGAGGTAAAGGCAGGTGTTATTTTTATTATACTCTTTATTTATGAAGAAACTGAGACTTGAAGAAGTTAAATTCCTCATTCAAAGAAGTAAAACTCAAGTCTGACGATAAACACTGGCTTTTAAAGACAAGATTATATTGTTTTCCATGGAAAACATCGCAAATAGATGGCACTTGAAGCCATAGCAGGTCATCCACAAAGGGTACAGTTCAAATGGGAACAAAAAGAGCCAAAAAATGGAATTCTAAGGAAGCCACATTTCCAAGGCAAATGGAGTAAGATGACAAAGGCAAAGGGATTGACTGAGTGGCCAGAACAGTTTCTAAAAATTAGAAGTATGGTATCTCAGAAGTCAAGGTTCTAGTCCACAAAGGAAAATGTCACGGATATCATGTGGGATGAAGCATTTACAATTAGAGGTCACTGATGATCTTAGAGCATTTTATAAGGAAGTCAGTTTGTAGTGGTTTGGGAGTGTACAGAAGATGAGGAAGTAGAAGCAAAAGGTAAGGCTACTTTCCCGGAAGTTTTGCAAAGTAGAGGGAGAAAAAAATAATGCCATATACATAAGTAAGGAATTTATTAATAATATCATTAAGTAATTAATAACTCTTTGCTCCCATTACTTATATTTTACACTTTCACCATTTCTATGGTTATTTCTGTCTACCTCTATTATACCAGCGTCCCTTCCCAAGTCTGATGTGCCCGGAAGCACCAAATGTTGTTTATTTTGGTTGTGGATGGACTTCTTGTATTTGTTAGGTGTTTTGAATGCCTCAGGTGATTCTGTCCTTGAAGGATGTGCCATAGACATCTCCCAGTCCCACCCAACTCCATCAACTCTTTTCCACAAAGATAGATAAGCATTCGCTTCTCAGACCAATTCAGCAAAGCATGCAAGCACTTAGGTGCTCAGCAAACCAAAACCTCTGTCTACCTTCCTCCCTTCCCTTCCCCTCCCCCAGACTCTGGGTGGGCAGATCAGAGAGAAGGAGCAGCCACTCCAAACCTTCTGGGATGTAATGTCCCAGATGGGGGCCTCTGTTTGGTTTTGTCGTGAGCTGAGGTCTTCCCTTGCCAGCCCGCATCAGTCCAGCCCTTTCTCAGAGGGGGCTGGAGAGTAATCAACACCGCCGTCCACCTGTGCACAGAAAGATGCCTACGGCCACACCAGCGATGATGAAACTGCCCACCAGGACGCCCAGGACCAGCGAAGTGTAGGAGCGGCCTGTTTGGCTCCCTGCAGAACACGCACAGAGTTAGCCTGAGGAACCTACCTCCAACATTCTCGTCCATTCTCTGAGTCACACCCTAAGGGATTCCCACCCCCAAAGGAAGGGGCTAATTCACCAAGTGATGGAAGTTGTGTATACTCTGTCCCAAACCCCCAGACCGGGGCCTCCTGTTGCTCAAGGCACCCAACCTTCAGGTCCACCCATTTGCCTGGAACCCACCCTATACCCAGCCCTTCCCCCCTTCCCATGCTACCTTTTGAGTTTTTCAAAGTGACATACTCCTGCATGTACTGCACACAGAGGTCCCGCAGATATTCTTGCAGTTCGTACCGAGTACGATTGTAAAAGTTGAGCTGATGCACAGTGAAGGTGACCACCTTGGACGGTGCCTGGGGCCCTGCCACCCATAAGGCCGTCTCTGGCTGGTAACTCACAAAGGAGCTCCCATTCATAGTCACTTCGAAGAAGACGCGGGCTGGAGAGCCCTCAGGAGGCTGCTCACAGCCCAGGAAGCAGCGAAAGGTCAGAGGAACTGTGGATGAGGGATTCAGGGTGAGACAGCTATGTGGAGAGGGTGTCAGGTGTGGGAGGATGGCCACCAGGGGGAACATGAACTTTTGGGGTTTAGGATGGATCAGGGACAGGACGTCCCAACAGGGTCTACCCCGAGGTCATGCCAGCAAGAAGAGGGCCTGACCGAGGGTCCGCAAGTAGGACTCCTCTTCAGGCTCAAGCTCCCACCCAGCAATCAGCAAAGGCAGGTGCCCTGACACCTGGGCTCCTCCTGGGCCGCCAGCTCACAGAGACCCCTCCAGGAACCCTGCCTCTTCCTTACGCCCCTCCCCTTTCTCCAAGGCCCGCCCCACCAAGTCCCTCCCATAGGCCACGCCTCCCAGCCGGAAGGCCCACCTTCGTCGGCCCCGCCCAGGCTGCACCCGCAGCGCGCGAGCGCCACTCACAGGTCAAGTGCCGCTCCCCGTGCACCAGCTGCACCAACATTTGGAACTCTCTCAGGTAGGTCTTCAGGCGTTCCTCTGTGTGCACCCAGCTCTCGGGCGCCTCCAAGGGCTGCAGCTGGATGATCGTGACGTTGGTGCCCTGGCCTTCCAGCACGTGCGTCGTCAGTCCCCCCAGCGACGCGTTGCCCCGGTGCCACACTTGATAGGGGTCACGGAAGTAGGAGATCTGGAGCATGTGGAGGCCTGCGGGTAGGTGTCAGCGCGTCAGCTCTTGGGGCAGCGTGAAGCTGGAGATAATAACCCCCTACCCAAAGGCCGGCCGCCCACCTTCCCGGCCGCCCATAGTTATAGTGTGCTTTCACCCTTCCTCCCACAACCCTGTCCGGAGCTCAGGACAGGGATTATTATCTCCGTTTTACAGATAAGGAAACTGAGGCTGGGAAGAGCAGAAGCCACTTACCCCAGGGTAATCCAGTCAGTGGAAGAGCCGCTCCGATCTTTCTCTCTCTCACCCCTAACTACCTCCATTTCCGGTTGGTCAGCACAGGCTGACCCACAATAAAATCCCATTCCCTCTCCAGTTCTCGGCCTCCCCCCCCAATGCCCTACTTCAGGCCTCATAGGTGCTCATCTGGACTGGGGTAGTAACTTCCTTCCTCATCCCCCTGTCCTCATTGTTCAGTTTCACTCCTTCCAATCTGACCTCCATCTGACCCAGAAATAAGATTATGCCCTTCTCCTACTTAAAATGTTCCAGTGACACATTCGCCTATCAATAATAGTAATAACTGCTGTTAAGTACTTATGATGAACCAAACAGTGTACCTACACACATTATTATCTTATCTGTGCTTTCCTCCCATTAGCTCAATGCAGTAGCTGCTGTTATTAACCTCAGTGCATAAGGGAAGCAGGCTAAATGGTACAGCAGAACCAAGGTCTGAATGTAGGCAGTGTGAGTCCGGCACGTTTAGCCACTCAGCCATACTGTCTTCCCATGGGATGTCTGTCCACAGAATGAAGTCCAAAGTCTTTCGCTTGGCATTCAAGGCTGCAGGAGACCAGGTCCCAACTGGCTTCTCTGGCCTCTTCCTGTCCTTAGATACAGTGAGCTACTTGGAGTTCCTCGTGCTGCCTTCTGGCTGACATGAATAGCATGTCCAGGTTGCTCTGCCTCCAGGCAAACTTCTTTTCGTGCCTAAAGACCCAGCTCTGTTGCCATCTCCTTGTAAAAGTTTTCCTAATGCCTCTCCTCTTTACCCTCCCCGACACAGGGACGCCTGGGTGGCTTAGATGGTTAAGCGTTCACTTTTGTCATGATCTCATAGTCCTGGGATTGAGCCCCACATCAGGCTCCCATCTGCTTCTCCCTCTCCCTCTGTCCCTTCCCTGCTTGTGCTTTCTCTCTCTCTCTCTCAAATAAATAAATAAAATCTATAAATAAATACTTACATACCCTCCCAGACACAGTGGGTCTGTTTCAATGATCCCAGATTTCACATAACTGTCTTCAAATACATAACTGTCTCCGAATATACAGACTATACTGGGCTCCACTAGGCTATAGAATTGTGTCTGGTTATCTGCCTTCTACATCTATTAAGGGCCTGGCACAGGGTTGATGTCCAGAGAATGTATGAGGAGGGGTGGGCCTGGGGTTGTCAATCTGTGGGTGTGTGGTGTGTGTGTCTCGTCCACATTTGCATATGAAAAGTGCTCTGCGTCTGCAGGTATGAATAAGTAGGTCTGTGTGGGTAACCCTAGATCAGGTTCTTAACTGCCCTGAGCCTAGTCTCCTCTGCTGTAAAATGGAGATAATCATATTGCTCACCATAGAGATATCGCGGGGGTTAGATGCCTCACTGCGTGTATTAACCGCAGTGAACGCTCGTAGAATTCTGGTGATTTGCTCCCTCTCTAAGACGGGTTGGTGGCGGGGGTGGGGTGGGGGACTATAGCCTGGAGATTGTAGGAAAGGGGAGAGGAGGTCCCTGTGCAGTCACAATACAGAGCAATAACTCCTTTCTCTGCTTAAAGAGCCACTTAAGGCAGCCTGACCCCTGTACGTTCACCCATGGACCACAGCTTCCCTTTCCCCAGACTTTCCCTCCTGCCACCCATCTTCCACCTTCTCCAGTCTCCTATCTGCCTTGCTTCTCTCAACCCCAGTCTCTCCAGTAGCTTGCCATTCCTTCCATCTCTCATCTCTTCTCTGAGTCTCTTCCCATCTTCCGTGGACTCACCCCTATCCACATTACTCTCAGCACTCCCTCTCCAGACTCACCTCCTCTCCCCAAGGCTAATCCCCTTACTCTTTCTACCCATCCCTTTCCGTTTCTCCAGTCCTGTTCCTCCAGCCTCTTCCATCACCCCCTTTCCCGGGCGAACTGTACTTCCTCACCTTGGCTTTGGGACACAAATCAGTCCCCAGGACCCTGCCTGCCCCATAGAGAGATCTGGCTGGCTGCAGGCACAGGCACTGTGGGAGAAGTGCTCCGCTCGTCTTCCCCATGTGCCCCAGACAAGCTGAGAGTCTCCAGAACCATCCCGAGGAAGGAGATGTGCCCCTGACTCACCATCTGAGGCGTCCTGGCTACAAAAGGCCCAGCCAGGCAGGAGCAGTAGACGCAGCAGTGGCAGCAATGTCGTCAACATCCTGGGGCTGAGGTTCTTACCCCACCTGGGCTCCTGGCTCCGGCAGGCAGGGGGCTCTGGCTGGCTGCAGCCTAGAGGGAAAAGAAGTGAGGACCGTCTGGAAGGGGAGGAGGCTGAACGGAGGAGGTTGGAAGGTGGCCAGAGGATAGGAGGAGGAAGAAGGCGGCAGGCTTATAAAGTGTTATTCTTCCCCGGTCTCATTTCCTACTAGGGGGCTGGCCTCCCTCTTGCCCTTCCCTTGCCCCGCCCTGCATCGGCCCTCTTGCCCAGACCTGCCTTTTCCCTTTTCCCTGGGCCTCTTCCAAACAGGGAGCGGAAAAGGGGGAGTCAGATTCAGAGAGAAGTTCTGCCCTCGCTGAGTCAGGGGGTGGGGCATCTGCTTTCAACTTGGAGCACACTCTAGGGTGTAGCGATCAGCAGGTTATTGATGGGGAAACTGAGGCCCCAAGAGGTGCAGGGACTTGCCCAATGGAAGTTTATATGTCATGCTGGTAACCGATTGGGATTAGAGTTCAGTTTTCCAGCATGCTGGCTACGTTTTATCAGGATTATAGTAATTACACAATCAAGGATCTTGCTCTCAGAAATACATAGTTACAAAATGAGTATAAAACAGCTCACTGCAGTGCTCTTTGTAATAGGAGAGAATTATGAACAATCTAAATCTCATTAGGGTATGGGTCACTTAAAGCAATATTTTTCAAACAGGTCACAGTCTACTCCTAGATGATGAAAACAGTTTAGCGGATGATGACTAGCAGCAGTTTTTTGTTTGTTCGTTTGTTTTTATGAACTGGAACAGAATACAAATTTTCAGTGCCTCCTTCTGGGTCAGAGTAAGCATTATTTTATGAAATAGTTGTTCAGTTGTACACATGCCCATTCCAGTTTTGTGCATGTATGTTTCTGTGATGGATTTTGAGTGGCAGTTTAAAATGTATTTCTTACTCCAGGAAGCAAGTGGAAAAATTTGGAAGTCACTCCACCCAGCTATGGTAATCCTATAGAATTACCTTATTAATCCTACAGAATTACCTATGGAATACTATGTAGTAGTTAAAAAAAAAAAAAAACCTCCCCTGCCTAATCTCCACTCTATTTCTATATTACTTAATACTACCTGAAATTATATTACTTACTCATTTACATGTTTCATGTCTGAATGTCCCACCAGAATGTGAGCCCCTAAGAGGTTGTCCGTCTTGTTTGCTTATCCGTCCCTTGCTTGGAAGGGAGCACATAATAAATACTACAATCCGTAATCACTATCAGCTAACAGGTGATTGAGATAGTGACTCAGTGATCGCTGACTGAGACAGTGAAGATATGCATAAATCTCCAAGAGTAAGTTGCAGGACATCAGGTTTAGAACCATGTATGTGTCTGCCACACACGTGACCACTAAACAACCTATTTCTTTATGGAAGGAATCTGGAAGGATGTGCATCAAATATAACAGTGATTTATCTCCAGTGATTTATTATCAGGGAGGAGCCCGAGGTTAAAAGTATACGGATGTGTATGTATATGTGTATGTGTGTAAGCACGTGTGTGTGTCTGTGCATATGAATGTGTGTGGGCACGTGTGTGTGAATGTGTGTGTGTGTGTCAGGGCGGCAGTCTTTTTTTTTTTTTTTTTTTAAGATTTTATTTATTTGACAGAGAGATCACAAGTAGAGAGAGAGAGAGAGGAGGAAGCAGGCTCCCTGCCTAGCAGAGAGCCCGATGTGGGACTTGATCCCAGGACCCTGAGATCATGACCTGAGCTGCAGGCAGAGGCTTAACCCACTGAGCCACCCAGGCAGCCCTCGGGGCGGCAGTCTTGTAGAAGGCCTTTTCCATCTATTTTGTGAAGGGTTTTATCATTCTATCTATATTGTTTGAAAAGTTCGCCCCTAACATGAGATGATATATCTTGTGTGGAATTAACAATAAAAGTTTAAATAATAAACTATGGGGGAAGAAGGTGGCAGATCACGTGAGCTGACGTACTGACATGAGACATTGATAAGTGAGAAAGGGGAGTGTGGAATGATACGTACAGGATAATTCCATCTATTTTTAGTTTAGAATGTTACTTCTGTCTGAGTAATACACCTATATCTGTAGGAAGAATGCCAGGTGCGGGATGTCAAGAGAGATTAGCTCTGGGAAACGGGATTAGATAAAGGGCTGAAGTGGGGGTTTTAACTTCCTTATTTTATATACTGTTCCTTGGAGGGAGAGTTGATGTCCTAATGGTTTCAGGGCAAACCCTGAATACATACCAGCCTCCCATTCTCTGAACTGAATATAAGCAAGAGTGTCTGTGCTCACTCCTCAGTCATTGTAGGTAAGCTTAGAAATAACCAAGTGTTGGGGCGCCTGGGTGGCTCAGTGGGTTAAAGCCTCTGCCTTTGGCTCAGGTTCTTATCCCAGGGTCCTGGGATCGAGCCCCCGGGTCCTGGGATCAAGCCCAGCATTGGGCTTTCTGCTCAGCAGGGAGCCTGCTTCCCCCTCTTTCTCTGCCTGCCTCTCTGCCTGCTTGTGATCTCTGTCAAATAAATAAATAAATAATCTTAAAAAAAGAAAAGAAATAATCAGGTGTTTTTCCAGCTTGCCAAAATGGTCTAGTCAGGAGGCAAATGGGGGCCTTGTTTTCCTGGACTGGTACTTAGGAAGAATGGATGGTCTTAAATCACTGCCAGTTACACTGTTTTGGCTTTTACAAAATATGATTATGAAATATTCCATATGAAGAATTTTTTTCATGGCTGAAGAATTTTATTACAAACCTACGTGTCCTCACTACCCAGGGGAAGAAATAAAATATTACCAATATAATTGAAGACCCTTAAACTCCCTGACCATGACTTTCTCCCCCCTGCCCTGTCACCAAAGCTACCACTAATCAGAATTCACCATTTCTCTGGGCTCCTGGATGGCTCAGTTGGTTAAGCGTCTGCCTTTGGCTCAGGTCATGATCCTGGGGGTCTGCTTCTCCCCCTACCCCCTACTCATGCTCTTTCTCTCAAATAAATAAGTTAAATCTTTTTTTTTTTAAAGATTTTATTTATTTATTTGACAGAGAGAGATCACAAGTAGGCAGAAAGGCAGGCGGGGTGGGGGGGGGAGTAGGCTCCCTGCTGAGCAGAGAGAGCCTGATACGGACTCCATCCTAGGACCCTGAGATCATGACCTGAGCCGAAGGCAGAGGCTTAACCCACTGAGCCACCAAGGCGCCCAATAAGTTAAATCTTAAAAAAAAAAAACAAAAAGAATTTACTATTTCTCATTTCCTCATTTCTGGATTCTCTACTGTATATGCATATATCCTTAAGCAATATGTAATGATGGTTTGCATATTCTGAGCTTTGTATAAATAATATTGAAGTGCGTGAAGTGCGTCTATTCCTCTGCAACTTACTTTTTTCACCTAACATATTAATAAGATTGATCCATATTATTATATGTAGGTCCATTAATTTCCCCAGCTTTATAATGCCATCTTATGAATATACCACAATTTATTTATTCATTCTTCTGTTAAAAGTCCCCCCCCCACCAGATTTTTTTTCGCTTATGCAAAGTGCTGGTATGACTTTCTTGTATGTGTTTTCTTGTGCGTACGTGGGAGAGTTCTTGTAGGTGCAAACATGGGAGGAGAATTGCTGAGTCATAGGTATATTCATCTTCAGCTTTACTAAAAATTGCCAAAATGTTTTGCAAAATGTTTGGGCCAATTTACATTCCCAACAGCGCACGAGGTTTCCCTCACTCCAAATCCCTCCCAGCCCTTGGCATTGTCAGATGGGTATAAAATGGCACTACATTTTGGTTTCGCTGTGCTTCATCTGATTCCTAGTGAGTTTGTGCATATTTTTACTTTGCCTTTTTTTCCTCCCTTGAGGACCTGAAAGCTGCCTTGGGATGGAGGGTAATAAAGTATATGATTGGAACAGTTTAGAATTGGGTGCTGTCAGCCTGATCTGTGCAGGTAGGACCTGTATCCCTGGGGTTAAAGTGATCCACACCTGCATCCACAGAGCTAATCCCAGATGGGCCTTTCCCACCAAGCTAAGATCTGTCATAGACAGAGATGACAACAGCAATGGCTACTTCCCAAGCGTCCTCCTCACACACCAGTGCCCCAAAAATCAAACAGCAGAGATAACAATTATTATTATAGCTAAATTTATAGTGGGCCAGGAGCAGTGTTAAGCTCTATACACAAATAATCTCATTTTATCTGTGTGCCAGTCTTTCGAGGTGGTTTCATTAACATCACCGTTTTCCTAATAAACGGAGGCTCTGAGAGGGTAAGTGACTTACCTAAGGTCACACAGCAAAAACTATAATTTGAACCCTTGTTTCTCTGATGCCAAAGTTTGTGAATTTAGCCACTACATAGTGTCTCAAAAGTTTTGGGGGATCACTCTCCAGCAATACATTTTTGAACACATACTTCCAACACTCCTGAATATTGATGTTATATATAATATAAAATGTGCCCCAAATTCATACTGTGTCCTAGGCCTTTCTCATTTTCTCTGGGGAGGAGAGCACCAGGCTCAATGTCTCCATGTTGCTAATGAGAGAACTCAAGCCCAGAGAGGCTAAGTAACTTGCCCAAGGTCACACACCATGAAAGTACAGAGCAGGGATTTGAACTCAAAAACAAAGGGGTATGGGTTTGGGTACAGGGAGTATGAAGAGAGTATTGGGGTGGGGAAGGTGGCGAGTGGGGACAGCTTGAGGGGCATCCTCATGTCCCCTTCTAAACTCAGGGCTGGGACGGGAAAGAGAAAAGACAGGTTGTGATTGGAGCCGGAGCCTGTGCTACATGGGGCCTGGGTGGACGAGGATAGAAGATCACAGAGCAGAGTGGGCATAGGGCCAGCAGCTGCAATTTGACTGAGATCTAAAGAATGAAGGTCCTGTTGAGCAGAGGGAAGTGAAGGAAGCCAGTGGTAGCATTTCCCACTCTAGAGAGCACATGCCAGGAGAAGATAAGGGAGACAGGAAGCTGAGCAGGGGCCAGTGCCGGTGCAGCCCCAGTAGGCGAGGAGAGGCTGAGCTGAGCCAGGGACTGGCGGTGTGCCCAGCTGGACTTCAGAAGACCAGCGCTCTCCCTCCCCTGTTAGCTACTGGAGAGTAGCTAACAGTTTAACCAACCAGACCCAACTCAGATAACAACGGAGTGTGGTTCCTTCAGAGATCACCTCCTGCTTATGATGCGGACTAGTAACCACACATCGAGAACTTACAGGTGTACTGGGCCCTGTATTAAGCAAGCAGAATACA